CAGCAGCCGTGGCTTCCTGCGCATGGGTTAAATTTCCTTCTCTTTCGGGAGGCTACTGCATCACCTTCTTCCGAAAATGATAACTTTTGCAAAACTTAATTGCTCCCTGCAAGTTTGCATGGCAAAGGCGCAGCCACTGCACCGGTGGGGACAATCCTGACTGTCCCCTGGCACCCCCTGGCCACGGTTCTGCACTGGATACCGAGCTCTGGAGCCCTCGCCAAGGGCACTGGGTTGTGCATTGGGGTGTGCGTGGGCTTGGGCAGCTCGGGCGCCTGTTTCAGCTCCCTAGCTTCTTGCTAAGACTTGTACCAGAGCCACGGAGCAGGTTGGTCCTGTGCGTTTGATCTTCCTTCCGTGGAACCCGCAGCCCCGGCCAGTGCGGCTGGATGGGGGGAGAGCGTGTCCTCGTGGCCCTGTCCCCCCTGTCCTGCTGCTGGGGTGGGATGGGGCAGGGACCGGCCGTGTCGCAGAGCTGGAGGGGAACGCCGTGGATGTGCAGCCTGCCCAAGCGCACGCGTCAGTTTTCGCCGTACCCTGATTACACGAGGGAGTTGCAGCAGAGATAACTGCAGGAACATCCATTCCCACCTTATCTCCCATCAGGAATGCGTTACGTTGCCTACATCAAAGTAGACGCTCTGCTGCTTCCCTCCTTGGAGCTCTAATCCTCTACTTCATGCTGGAGAAAAAAAAAAAAAAATCAGAGTATTGCTCCCCAATAATAAATTCTGAATGCTAATTATCAGCGTATTGCCTGCCTTCCCTTCGCAATGCCCTGCCTTCCAGCCCCAAATAGCTTTCCTCCCTCCCTGCTCTGCTCCATCCGGTCCTCCCACGCTCCTGGGCACGCCGTTGAGCCTGGCTTAGCAGAAGTTGTCCTGCAGGATTGCTTCCCTCCCTTCCATTTAAGGACAGGAATTCCTCGGGGAGCCAGGGCGTGGAAGGGATCCCTCCCCGCGCCCCATCGTCAGGACTTCTCCCCGTGTGCCTAATTCCCGCCTGTCCCTGCAGGAAGCTCCTTGCCCGGCCGTCAGGCAGAGCCGCGGTGTCTCCAGCCCTTTTGCGGGCAGACTCTGGTCCCTGTCGGGTGCCAGGGCTGGGTTTGGGAAGGATGCTCGCCCTCGGTGTGGCAGGAGGGATGGGGAGCGGGGCCGGACCCCGCAAACCCCTGGTTTTGTTGGTGGGAGCCAACATCATCCAGTGATGGTGGAGGAACAGGAAAACTTTATTTTGGTGTCAAAAAGCATGCAATTGTAGAGCAAACAGCAGAGTTTAAGCACAAAGTACATGAAAGCGGGGCTCCGCGGGGGGTGGGACGGGCTGGCGTGCCCCCGCTGCCCGGGGCTAACCTCTCGCCCTCCTGTCTTCCAGGTTCATGAGTGGGAAGGGGCTGGTCATCTACCCGGAGATTGGGGATAAACTGGACATTATCTGCCCCAAGGCGGAGCCGTCCAAGCCTTACGAGTACTACAAGCTGTACCTGGTGAAGAAGGACCAGGCAGATGCCTGCAGCACCATCATGGACCCCAACGTGCTGGTGACCTGCAACCGGCCCGAGCAGGAGATCCGCTTCACCATCAAGTTTCAGGAATTCAGCCCCAACTACATGGGCCTGGAGTTCAAGCGGCAGCAGGATTACTTCATCACATGTGAGTTGCCCTCCTCTTCCTCGCCGCCAGCCCCGCTTTGTGGGGGGGCCGCGGGGGCCTGGAGAGTGTCGCCAGGCGCTTGTTCACGACTTGGCCGGTGCAAAGAGCTGACACGTACGGAAAATATTTCCTGCTGGATGGGAGAAAGGGGAGGAATGTGTCACCGGCCGAGCGGGTCACTGGTTTGTACCCATCTGCTGTGCCCGCAGCCGGAGCAGGAGCACGTCCCCGGCCGGGGTCAGCCCTGGCGAGGAGGGACAGCGTGTGTCTGGAGCGCTGCCGCAGGTGGAGATTATTTTTTGCTGCCGCCTTTGCTGGAGGTGTCGCGGGGCATTTCTTGCCCGGAGGAGCTCGCGATGGAGCAGTCGGGAGGAACAGTGACCAAGGGGGAGATGCTCGTCCTCCTCCCTGGGTGCTGCCTCCGCTTGCTGTGCTCTGAACGGCTGTAAAATTCTGCACGCTCGCCTGTTGCTGTTTGGTTTTTTGGTGCGACAGAGGGATGAAATTTCTTGGAGCCCGTGGTGGTCCGTGCGTGCTGGGGACCGTTGCACGGGGATGTCTCCGGTGGTGCTGGGCTTGGTGCTGCCTTCCAGATCACTCTTCCGCTGCTCAGCTGGTGATGCCACCAGCCTGGATTTCCCTGGCGTGCCCATCCTGGTGCCGGGGCTGCTGGTGGTTTTGCTGCAGAATAATTTGAGCAAAGCCAGTGCACAGAAAGCAGCCAGGAGGGGCTCCGGCAGGTCCTTGCTTTTTCCACCCTTGCTTCCTTTGTGGTAAATTTTGCTCGGTGCTTCTGAACGCGTGGTGACAAAAGGGCTCGCAGGGGTTTCTGGTCACCCGTGCCCAGCATGGTGTGGCCGTAGGAGGGGTGAGGACGGGGAGGACCTGGCACGGCAACCCGCTCATCCTGCTCGGCACAGCAGCGGTGCCGGCACACACCACGGGCTGAGTCACCGTTTGGCTGGGCTGGTCTCTCCTGAGAGCTGCCATCGCTCGTCACCATCGCTGTCCGGAGCTGGGGCCATCTGCCCAGTGTCACTTGGGCGGCACAAGTGGGGTCACCAGCTTTGGGGGGGGCAGGCAGCCCTGGCTGCAAGCCCAGATGCCCTGAGGATGGGCT